TGTAATTGGCGCAATTTTTCCAAGACAATGAAATTATGCAAGTTTTATTTGTGAAACTTACTATTAAATTAGTAAAATTTTTCCATGACAATGAGATTATGTATGCTTTATTTGTGATGATGCAATGATTTTTCTATGATAATGAGATTATGCAAGTTTTATTTGTAAAATTTACTTTACTTGATTGATCTTGATTGATTTTTCCAAGACAGAAAGTTTTATTTGTGATTGGTGCAATTTTCCCAAGACAACGAAATTATTCAAGCTTTATTTGTGAAACTTACTATTCAATTGATGAAATATTCCCAAGATAATGAGATTATGCAAGCTTTATTTGTGAAACTTACTATTCAATTATTAGTATAATTTTCCATAACAACGAGATTATGCATGCTTTAATTGGTGCAATTTTTCCATAACAACGAGATTATGCAAGCTTTACTTGATTATTGATTTTCCCATACCAAGTTTTTTTATTGTGAAACTTAGTATTCAATTGGTGCAATTTTCTCAAGACAACGAAATTTGCATGTTTTATTTGTGATTGGTGTAGTTTTTCCATAATAATAAGATTATGCAAGTTTTATTTGTGAAACTTACTTTACTTGATTGATCTTGATTAATTTTCACATATTTTTCCAAGACAGAAAGTTTTATTTGTGATTGGCGCAATTTTCCCAAGACAACAAAATTATGCAAGTTTTATTTGTGAAACTTAATGCTCCCATGACAAAAAAATCATGCAAGCTTTATTTGTGAAACTTACTATTTAATTGGTATGATTTTCCCATGATGCATGCAATCAATTGGTGCAATTTTACCAAGACAACGAAATTTGCAAGTTTTATTTGTGATGTAATTTTTCAGATATTATTTTTCCATGATAATGAGATTATTGATCTTGATTGATTTTCACATATTTTTCCAAGACAGAGTTTTATTTGTGATTGGTGCAATTTTCCCAAGACAACGAAATTTTATGCAAGTTTTATTTGTGTAACTTACTTTACTTGATTGATTTTCACATATTTTTCCAAAACAGAAAGTTTTATTTGTGATTGGCGCAATTTTTCCAAGACAACGAATTTGCAAGTTTTATTTGTGAATTCATGATAATGAGATTATGCAAGTTTTATTTGTGAAACTTATTGATCTTGATTGATTTTCACATATTTTTTCAAGACAGCCGGTTTATATATTTTAATATGTATAATAAATAATTTAAGTCACAGTAGAGTACAGTCAGTTTTTCAGTTTATTCAGATACTATAGCTTATATTACGGTATTAACAGGTTTTGCAGAAAGTTATTTGAACTACTATATAATTTATTTAATAGATTACATAAATTTTAATACGTACAGTATCGATATGGAATGTGTGCATTTGATAACCAGTTATTATATATTATTGTTTTAATGAACTAGGTATATTTTTATAATATAATGTTGATACTACATATTATATCAAAATGAATTATGTAATAATATAACAATATAAAAAAGGTAAAGTCTTACATATATAGTACAACTACCGTATAGAGACCGTGACGTAATCCAGAGCTCTAACCTAACACCCTGATTACCCGGACCAAGGCTTTCCATGCCTCAATTGTACTTTTAAACGTACATTTGTATTTTGTATATATTTGTAAATACAAAAATCGAAAATTGTCTTTTAATTAATTTAACTACATTATATAAAATTTTTTTCCTTATGGGACAAACCGGAGTTAAAAAGGAGATTGTAAATTTCCGTATTATCGTGATAGAATTTAAAAAACCTCACGAGAGCCTATATCAAATATAGCACTGATTGTACTACTGATCATTATCGTTATATAAATAGATTTCAAAAATTTAATTAATTTTGATGATCATTTTTTTTTCTACACAATGAGTAACAATAATGCAACTGTAACCGTTAAAAAACAAATGTTTAATCTTATTCAGCAGCGAATTAATGGAGAATCTCCTTTAATTAAACCCACTCATAATCCAATAATTCTAAAGACCGAAGAAGAATGGAATGAATATTTTAAAACTTTTTCGCAAAGAAAAAAACAATTACAAATAAATTATGAATGGGAAGAATTTTGTAGCAGATTTGAATTTTCAGTAAAATTACTTGAAAAAGTTGGAAACGACGAATTTGAATTTGAAAGTCAAAAAAAAAAAAAGACAGATGAATTGATAAAAAAGTCTCTTCCGTACTATGATCGTAATGATTATATGCGTAAGAAAAAATTTCATAAGTCAATAGAATTATTTGTAGAAAAATCAAAAGAAAAAGAAGTCCCGCTAGATTTTTGTCGTCAAGAATTAACTGGCATGGGTTTCACAGTTAATTCATTAAGCGAAGGCAGTGATGAAGAAATTCAAACTTTATTTCGTTGAAAAATGTGCTGAGAAATACAAATGTAAGTTTATAAAAGTGATATTCACATACTGAGGATATACTAATTGTAATTATTAATAATTTTATTTAGCTCAACTCGGCTAATAAAATCTCTTATTATTAATTTACATGAATTTAATAACGAGTTTATTCTCTAACTTTATAAATTTATTTTTTTATAGTAAGGCTTTTCAGATTTAATATATTGGATCTCGTAACCTGCTGTGTTTATAGTTTATGAGAACCAAAAAATTTACTAAGCGTGGCCTAATATGTTTTAAGAATTAAGAAAATTAACTAGCGTGGCCTAAGATTAGAATTTTATTAAGAATATATTTCTATTAAATAATATGCGTATATTAAACTTGATTTTATTTTTAAAATTTTATTAAGAATATATTGTAATAAAGTCATTTTAAGCTTGAATACAAGTTTAGCATAAAAAAATAAACCGATTAAGAACTGAATAGTCGAGTTTAGTGATTAGTTTTTAAAAATAGTTAATAATCTAAATTTACTGTGCCACATTATTAACTAATTAAATTTTATTAACTAAACTAGACTTCGGGTTTTTAAATTTACAATTTATTGGACTAAAACATGTTAGCAACAAATAAAATTTTAAGCCTGAAGATTGTTTTTCCTTTAACAACTTTCATATTAAAAAAAAAAAATCTGCACACTGACCCAAATTAAATTAAGAATTTCGTGTGATATCAAAAAAAATTGATTTGTGTAGTCTGTTCTAGTTATATAAATAATTTACCGTTGATTTGTTTGCCTTTTGTTTATTAATTTTATTGCTTAACTCGATTTTTAATGATTTATTTTCTTCTTGAGACATTTTTTAAAGTTTAAATGTCGTTTATATAATTTTATAAAAACGAATACGAGATCATCATTACTATAGCATACTCCAGTTGAGCCTCTCGCCTTTCAACATATGTAATGCAATTTCACAACGATCTCATATTCAAAGAGTGGCACAACCCTTAACTGCATCACCTCGCCGATGTGGCATACTTTCAAGAAAGTAGCGAAGTTAGTTATTTGAAAACTTTGCTTTCTTTCTTTTATTTTACTCTAAACTTTTTTACAATACAGCTCCCAAAAATAGACAAGGTTTACTATAAGTTGGATATACAGGTAAAATATTTTTTCAAAATTTGTTGACAATAGGTTTTGAACCCCCAACTTGCTACATGGCAGCCTAACAACCTAAACAACTACTCCAAGATCACCAGACCTGCTACTTAAAAATTTTCAAAATAATTTTTTATTCTTTAATATAAATTTAATATATATTAAATTAAATATATATTAAATTAAAAAATATACTATATATATATATATATATATACTACATATAATAATTTATTTATTTATTATTTATATTATTTTATTTAATATTTTTTTATAATATAAAAAATAAATAATATAGTAGAATTAACTTATTTATCAATAAATTTTATAGTTATAATAATAGCAATAACAAATATTATTAAAAAAATAGCACAACCAATACTTGCTTTAATAATTAAACTAAAAGTTTTAGAATCTGAAATTATTGTATTACTTGGGTTTGGATTACTTGTATTATTTGAGTTTGGATTACTTGTATTATTTGCATCAGGTGGAATTTTATTGTTTGAAATTGTATTATTTGAAATTGTATTATTTGGAATAAATTCAGTAACCCATCTATAGGAATCTTTTTGGCTTGTATCTAGAATAAATATTCCTGATAAAAAACTCAAATCTGATGAAAATTGACCTGTTAAACAAATAATTTTAGCAAGTTTTAAATAAAGAATTTATTGACAGAAATAAAATAATCAAAACTTTTACCAAAAGCAATAAACATGTAATTATCCACTAATGTCGCAGTATGACCACAAAGAGTTAGATTCTCAATTGGATTTAAAATATTTCCAAATGACCATTGAGACAATGCAATATTTAAGATCCACAGATCACCGAGACATGAAATCCCATTAACTGAACCACCAAAAATTATAATACGTCCATCGGAAGCTTTTAATTTTAAATAATTAATATAAAAATCTTAGTACAGTAATTAAATATTACTATATAACATACTTAATACTGCTGAGAACCATCCGCGGGAAGGAGGAGTTGGACCGGATATACTCTAATAAGATATTTAAATCATTAGTTACAAAAACAAAATAAGAAATACTGTATATTTCTTTGGCACGTACTATATTTGTCCACATATCAGATTTTATATTATATAACTGTAACTATAAAAGCATTAATAATAATAAAGATCAAATGATCAATTACAAAAAGTTAACACTTACGTTATTCATTGGTATAAGTAAAGAACTCAAACCCCATCCAATATATAAAATTCTTTCATCAGGCAACGTTAT